GCTTCCAGTTGTTTCATCAAAGTTAACCGGAACTTCCACACAACTGTTCAGAAATTAGAAAGACATTCACAATGCTGACTTGTTACACCTGACTCTCAGATCATCCAGCCAGAAGACATAATTTGCAAACTTGTTTTGAGATCCGGTCTCACCTTCAACACTCCTGGCTCAGATGCAGTCTTTCTTTGCCTGAAGGATTGTGAACTTCTTGAATGCTAGCCCCAGGTACTCTGTTAAAATGGTCAGGTCACACGGAGGAATCTACTTCTCTTTTAAAACTTGGTTTCCTTGTCTGTATACCCCTACACCTGAAAGTTGGGTTTCTTAGTTCTTTAATTTTTTACAGAAATAGATCTCTTTAGAGATCTTGTGATACAGGAAAATTAAGAAAGCTTTTCAAAACAGGGAAAAATGAACGCAAGTACAAAAAATTCACGTTCTAAGTTGGGACAAGGGTTCATGAAGCCCATCATTTTGTGATGCCCATGCACAAACTTCAGGCTTAGAAATCTCGCAGTAGAGGATCCCTTGGGCCTCTCTGAGCTCTGATCTCCTCTCAATCCTATTAAGCATCTTCCCCAGACTATAGGGCAGTATTCCTCAACTTCAGCTGCACATGAAGACACCTTTAGGATTTTCATACTTTCAATGCTCAGGTTGTTCCCTAAGCCAATTAAATCCAGGTCTTGTGGGAGGGGGCTCCCAGGCATCAGTATTTTTTAGCACTCTCCTGGTGATTCCAATGTGCAGACAAGATTGCAAAACACTCCTCTAGAACAAAGAATCTCAAAACTAGCAGTGAACAGAGTCACCACAGAAATGCAGATTCCCAGGCTCCTCCCCTGGTGATTCAGATGCCTTCTGGCCAGACTCTACCTGAGAATATGCACTGTTCACAAGCATTCTGGGCCATTCTGACCCAGAATACATTTTGGAAGTGCCATAATAGAGCCATTTAGCAGGAAAAGCCCCAGGTTCCCTTTCCTCCCAGATAGTTCTACAAGCTCCCAGCAGATCTGCAGACTTGTCTTGGTGTGACTGTAATATATCTCCTTCATTTTCCAGACAAGCTTTCTTATCCCCATCTTTTCCACCTCTAGCAAAGCTGGATCTTTTTCCCAGATTGGGAAAAAGCCAGAGCCTCTGATCCCACTAGGTTCAATAATTTAAGTAAAGCAATCATCAACATTGTCGTGTTCAATATTTAAACACCTTAGCATCACTTAGGTCAGCTACATGGTGAGAGCTGACTCCTGTTCAATTGCCTAGTTAGCAAACTGGGCCACTGGCTGCCGGAGGGGAGAGCGTGTGCACAACTCCAATGCTAGCCAGCTGGGCAAAAACCCAGCCTGCCAAGTCCTGCGCCCTCTCTACTTCTTCCTACCTGAAGTGTATTCAGCAGGACTTGCAGCCCACTGCCTTCTTGTTCGGCCATCCCTTCCTCGGTCCAGTGGCACCGGCTGCCTGAGGCCAGATCCAGGCTGGAGAGGGAGCGGCTGCCAGTCTGACCTCGCTGCCTGCCTCAGCTGCACAGAGGCCTCAACTGTACATGCTGTGGAGTGTGAAGTCACCACTGTGCAACCCTAGACCTCGGCACAGGCGCAGATGCCCCCCGACTCCCACTGTGGGGATTAGGTGAGCCCCAGCCTGGGGGAGAGCTGAGCATTTGGGCACAGGGGTGGGGAGGGCACCCGCGTGAGTCACTCACTCACCTCAGGCCCACGCAAAAGCCAGGGAGAGGAGAAGCCACCCTGGATGGCTGACAGGCATTCCCAGCTGACCTGGTCAGACTCCCTCCTGAGGCCCGCTCTGCCCTCTCCACTGCCCCCCCACCCCTTTATTTTGGTCTGTTGCCGGCTCCCAGTTGTAACAGGAGACTCAAGAGTGCTTGCACAACTGTGGCAGTTCAGGGCACAGGAGCCCAGGGCCCCCTGAGGTTCCAGGCTTAGGGTTAGGAGCTGCAGCTGAGAAGGAAAATAACTACTATGTGCATTTTGTTATGGATCATGTGCCTTATATGATCTCTTTAATAACCCATAGAAGTAGGTTTTATTATTACCATCACCATGTTCCAAAGGAGAAAACCAATGAACACAACGTTTAACAGCTCATGGCAGGGCTTAAACGGGCAAGCTCATGCCGATACACAGACCCTAACCATTACACTGCCCTGCAAACATCTTGGGCCAAGTATTGGAAAGCTAAAGAGCTTCTGGCACTGGGAGACTGCAGAACTGGGAGCCTTCCTGGCATCCAAAGCATCAGGCCAAAGGCTGCCCAAGTTGAGTTATGGCACCACTGAGGAAAGAGTTTACATTTCCAGATCTTCTGTGGCTTAAGTGTCCTGAATCCCTGAGTCAGAGGTCAGGCCTGGCCAAAGTCTCAATTCAAGGACACATTCCTGTGATTCCTGACCTCAAGACACTTCCATTCTTAGTGGCTTTAAATGTGAAGCTCACCCATTTGGGAACCGATGGATGCTGTGTCTCTACACCTCCTAACACTTGTGGTGACAAGAGGGTAGAAACTGATCCCTTTGAAGACCTCTGCCTTCTGTGAGTGGGTGGAGCTTATGGGGCATATGTTCTGTGGTCTTCTAAGGTGTGGGGACAGGAAGATTGAACTGACCCACGCCATTATCTTAAGGTCTGACAACCCCTTGGTCTTCAAGTGGGGGATGAATAAAAAGCAGAGGCAGAAGGAAAAACAAAACCTCCTTCCCAACGTATACCTAAAATGATTTAAAGATAAAAGCAGTCAGCATGTGAAGTCACAAAAATGACCTCTGAGGAGAGAATCAAAGGCATTGCGGTCATCCTTACTAAAGTAAAATTGTCTCCACTTTAAAAGATGTCTTGGTTTAGCTCACAGAAATTACATTGGACAGAAATGAAATAAAACTTATCCATAAAGGGATCACTTTCTTGTACTTAGTGATACCTTTCCCCTTTCAGTGCCAAGAACCTGCTTTTCCATAAAGCCCGTGTGAAATGAGGCAGGGAATGAGTGGGCTCCTTCTTTCCTTGTGGACACTCCTGCCTCACATGCCTAGCTTTGCTTGCCCTTTCCCTTTGCCCCAGAAGAATTCCATCCTCTGGAAAGTCACTCTCCATTAAACCTTCAACACTGTCCCCCTCACACCTCCACAGATCCCTGATCCCCAGCCTGGAACAACCTCCTTCACCCTCCCTCATGCACAGGGAAAAAGCCCCAATAGTCCCCTCATCCAAACTTCTCTCTCTTACTGCCAGCCTGACTCCATTAGCAGAATGATTCACTTAGGTGGAAGTATAGATGGATGACAGTAGGGTGGGATGCTCTTCCCCACCTTTCCTCTGTGCCCTTTCATAGATGAGACCTCTGTTCAGCCTTGCTGCCCTCTTGGTTATAGGAACAAGGTTATCCCTCTTTCAAAGGGGATGATATGGGATTGGGATGACATTTGGGGATACAGGGCTATGGAGGCAACTCATATGGGTCTTACCTCAAGCTCTGTCCGTGTTTAATACTGTTTGTCAATCCTCCCAACCATATTTTCCCACAGTTGGTGTTGAGGACCTGGGGGTCCAAAAATTTCAATTTTGGTAGACACTTCACTAAAAAGCAGGAGCTGAAACCCAAGCTTGGAATGCTCCCAGATAGTATGGTATCTTACCCAAAAGTGGACTGAAATGAGTACTCACTAACCACTTGGGCAGCCAAGCGGGGGAGGTGAGTTCCTTGGGCGTGCCAGGGAAGAAGCTGCTTCATAAGGCAGAGAAAGGTCTGTTTCATAGGGTATCTTTTCCAGGAGATGTTTAAGGAAACCAAAGAGGAGAAAACCAGAAACAAATGTACTCTGATTTCAAAGAAAGGCACGTTTAATGTAACCTTGAGATTGCCATTGTAGCTCAGCAGTTCTAAGAGCCACCCCCCAGGTCACTGATGTGCTGGAGCTGGAGCAACCCCCAGAACTCTGAAAAGCCCTTATGCTCACAGTTGTAGTGGTTAACAGCAGAAGGGTCTGGGATAGCAGGCAGCGGAGGGAAGAGATGTGTGGAACAGAGTCCAAGAGGGACCAAGCAGGAGTGCCTAGTTGTCCTCTCCCGGTGGAGTTGTGGTCACAACACTTACTTCTTCTGCAATGATGTGTGTAATACAGGCAGAGCATCACTGACCGGGGGAGCTCACCTGAAGCTCCTATCAGGGTTTAGCGTTAGGGTTAGGACAGTGTTAGGATTTATACTGAGAGTGGATTGTGCAGATATGATGGAGCTCAACATGGCTGACCTTACTCTCCAGCCTCTCCAGAGATCAAGTTGTTACCACGTGACCCAAGAAACCTACCATATATCCTACTGTTAGAAGAGCCTGTTGGCATGGCCCAAGGCCTCAGGTAAATAGACTCTCATCAGGCAGGATATTCCAAGAGCCTAAGGGTGCTTGTAGGGAGATGGGAGCACAAGGCACAATCTTTCTTTGGACACGTTTAATATTTTACAGCACATCAGGCCCAAGATTCAGATACCTTGTGAGTAAGATAGAGGGATGAATGTGAGCTTATATACTTAGGAGGGTTTAATAGCTAGTAGGATGGTAGCACACAGTGGCTTAGCTGGAGTTGTGCAGCTTGGGGCAGTTCTTCAATTTGCCACCCTTCAACATATCTGAATACTGTATGTTAATCTATTTAAACAGAAAATTAAAATGAGGTATATCTGTTCAGAGCAGATTCCCTCCCCCAGCTAGTGCCACTGCCACTACCCAGAGTGATGATTAATGAACTGACACTAATATAAAGAGTGTTTTCTAACAGCATCAGGGGTATTCAGTCCACTGACTCTTTCCTTCTCATCACTGTCATCAGTGACTTGGATACAAAATAAAGGCTACATGCTTATTAGGTTTTCTGATGACACCAGTTGAGAAAGACTGAACTTGTGAGATGACATAGTTGGATTCCAAAAGGATTTCAGAGCCTTGAGTAACAGACCACATCCTCTATGATGAAACACAACAAAGCCAAGTAGGAGCTCCACCCCCAGGTCCTCAACACCAACTGTGGGAAAATATGGTTGGGAGGATTGACAAACAGTATTAAACACGGACAGAGCTTGAGGTAAGACCCATATGAGTTGCCTCCATAGCCTTGTATCCCCAAATGTCATCCCAATCCCATATCATCCCCTTTGAAAGAGGGATAACCTTGTTCCTATAACCAAGAGGGCAGCAAGGCTAAACAGAGGTCTCATCTATGAAAGGGCACAGAGGACATGCCTGTCAATGAGAGCTCTGATACTGTAAGTGGACATCGCTCATCCAAGTGTCAGGACTGCAACAGAGAACCCCACCCTACCCAACAGTGCTCAGTCTTTGGAGGCTCACTGGAGCTCTCACAAGTGCAGGACAGGCATGTGGAGGAGGGGTGGGGCCTAAAGACCCAGTCAGGACCCATGGGAAGAGCAGTGAAAGGACCCAGTCTAGGCCAGGTGCCAAAGTGCACTGGGCTCAGGCTGCCAAGCAGGCCTACTTCTCATCATCAGTGGTGCCCAGCAGGGACTGAAGACCTCTCTTCCTAAGGTGGTAGAGGGTATTCCAAGATAGGAATGAAGAGACAGAGAGAGGTTCTCACCCCAGGCCACACACCCAAGCGATGGCAAAACTGGAACAAAATCACTTTTCCTGTTGTAAAAATTTCAATAGGTAGGTTTTATTTCAACTTACACTAGAAAAATATATAGTGAACACCAAAAATATGTTTTCCTGGGCTGGATGTGGTGGCACACTCCTGTAATCCTAACACTTAGGAGGCTGAAGCAGAAGGATGGCCATGAGTTTGAGGCCACCTGGACTACATAGTGAGTTCAAGGCCAGCGTGAACTACATAGCCATAGGACCGTTTGTCTCAAAAAAAAGTTTTCCTAGATATTGATTCTCATGATGGACTATAAAGTTTAGAGATGAGTTGCTGTTAAGGAAAGATTAAAGGAATCTTAGCACACATGGCACCCAGACAGAGCAAGAATCCCAGGGGAGGGAGGTTAACAACTAAATTTATGGAAGGTTCAAATTCAACCAAGCTTGCTGTTTAATACTGGGCTCAGATAATGTTCTCCCTAATCTCATCATGAGACCAAATCTCACTTAATAATACCCAACATCTCTGTTCCTAACATACATTTTAAGCTGATTAGTATAAAGGTTTCTCTGAGCCCATTCATGTCATCAGTCTAACTGTAACCATTTCATTTCCTGCTCCAGTTCTTTCGTTTTTGTGTCTTCTCCTTGTCCATCTCTAGCAATACACAGACATACTTGCTGGAGACACACATCTCATAACCTCCACTAAGCACAATGGGTCTGCCTTTCTATGTAACACCCGAGCTAACTGACTGTCTTTGCCCCCAAAGAGTTCCTCCTTTCCCTAATAATGAAGTTCCTAAGGGAGTGGAAAGCAGAGCAGAATAGTAGAGGGAAAGTGCAAGAGCTACTGCTTTATGTGCATTATCTAATTTGGTCCTTGTTCTAGTCCTGTGGGCCAGATATCATCCCCAAGTCCAAATGAGAAAACAAAAGTTAGTTTACATGAAGCAGTCACACAGGAATTTAACCTTAGATCCATCACCCACTTTAGCCTGTGCTCCTCATTGACAGAAAAGGCTGTAAGATACAAATGCCCCTGGCATGGATATTCTCAATAGATTTAGATTCACAAATGCCAAATGGGAATGGAAATCTTCACAGATCACAGGGGAGAGACCTGCAGGGAGGAGGGGCATCCAGCTTCCTCACTGAGCTTTCTAGGATGCAGTGACTTTAATGCTTACAAATTCAGGTATGTTTGGCAGAAGGGGAGGCGTGAAAGCATAGAGCTTCTCCACCACTACTCCTGGCACCAGCCCATCTGACGTGCCCTTCTCTTCTCTTAGATTCAAACTTTTGCTTACTATGCCTCTACTTTCTCATCTGCTAAACAGAAGTAACATCACCTACTTAAAAGCCACAGAGAGGACTAACTGAAGTAACACAATGCTCTTATCACAGGGCCTGCTACCAAACAAGCACTCAGTAAACACAGCTGTTACTCTTATGCCACTGTTATAGATTCAATAAAATCTACCTCAAACAAGTGAAGATTAAATTTAAAAAAGAGTCCTTCCTTGGTATCATAGGGAGGTCAGTTCGAGGACCCCTTGCAGATACCAAAACCAAAGATGTTTGAGTTCCTTACATAAAATGACAATAGTATTTGCAATGAGAACTATACATGTCCTCCCATATACTTGAAATCATCTCTAGATGACTTACATACTATTTAATAATGGAAATAGTAGTTATTCTATATTATTTAGGGTATAATAGCAAGGTGAAAGGTCTGTACATGTTCAGTATAGGAGCAATTTTTTAAAAATATTTTCAATCTGTGGTTGGTTGAATCCTCAGATATATCTGACTATCATATGATATCATATCATATCATATATCAGTTGAATATCATATCAACTATCTGATGTTAAGGAGATGAGTGGGTGGGAAAGAACTGAGTAGTGTTAGCAGGCACTAAGAGGGGAAAGCGACTTGACGTGGTGTTTCTGCCCAACAAGGAAAACCCTTGGAGTTCTGGTCATTCCCCGGCATCTCAGGAACAAATGCTGTCACCCAGGCACATGAGCAGCTGCAGGTGTACAGAGCTGAGGCTCCAGACAAAGCAAAGAGATGTTCAGCCTCATTCAGGTTGGAGGTGCAGAGCCACCATGTGGCCTCCCAGGGCAGGGGCTGGACGGGGAGCTGCAGCCAAGCCCCACTGCAGGAGGCACAGGTTAGCCATCACTGAGGAGTCTGCTCTTTGGCTAAGGATGAACACAGGCTCAGAGGTGAGGAGCCAGAAGCAGCATTGCCATCTCCACCACAGCCAGAGCTTGCAACAAGACTAACACGGGACACAAAAAAGAGGGCCAGGGAGAGGGTCTCTGGGCAACGCCAAAACCAAGACTGTTCTCTCAACTGCACTGGCTGGGGAAACTACCCTAGAATGGGGAGCGCTGTGGTCTGCATGGCTGTCTCCCCGCAAAGTTCACCTGTGGAAACCTAACACCCAAAGTGATGGTTCCAGAGGTAAGGTGTTGGGAGATGATTAGGTCAGGAAGGGTAAATCTGCATGAGTGGCATTAGTGACCTTACTAAGGGGACACCAGGGAGCTGCCTCGCTCCTTCCACCATCAGAGGACACAGATAAGAAGCACCATTTATGAACCAAAAAGTGGGCTCTCAGCAGATACCAAGTCTTAGACTTCCTTGCCTCTCGAGCTATTAGAAATACACTTCTGTTATGAACCATTCAGCCTAAGAGACTTTTGTTATAGCCACCTAAATGGATTAATACAGAGGAGAGCAAAATTACTTTATTCTTTATATAGTGTGCTATATATCGGTGTGTTTTTAAATTCTATAATGCTTGAAAAGGAGCTCTGCCATATTTTTAACTGATAAATACTCAAAGAACTATTCAAATATTGTCATTTCTGGGCCATTCTGTATCTGGCTATTCAATTCTAGGGCCCAGAGTGGACAAAACATGTGTATGAATCCTTGCTGAATGTCACAAGGGACTCATTTCTGGCATAAATTTGGGGCTCAATAGTAATAAGATAGCTTCCCCTGGCATCAGGATAATTCTACCTGTTGAGCTCCAACTTACTGATCAGTCTTTTAGGTCATGCCTGTCTGAGGTTCAGACACCTCATCATTCTGCTTTTACTTTTCTATAAATCCCAGTGTATTAAACAAGGCACTGGTGACAACTTGTTCTCTTTCACTGTCTTGAAATATTCCTCCTCCTCCTGGATGATGTGAAGCAAGACCCAGATCCTTCAGGACCTACAAGAGAATCCTGGGATGCAAAGTCATGCAAGAAGGGGATAGAGCTTCCCAGACCAGTGTGGCATGTTCAGGGCAGCTGATATGTCCTCTTTCCCTTAAGATAACTGATGCCCGGCTCCTGTCCCAAACGTACTGGCACCACCCAATTCCCCGCCTCTCTGCCAGATAGGGTCCCTTTTGTTATGCAAAGACACAGCTAGAAGTCAGCTGTCTGTGAACCAGGAAGAGGGCCTCAGCTTGCCCTGAACCTCCCAGCTCCTTCATCTTGAACTTTCAGCCACCAGAACTATACGTACTTGTTGAGTTCACCCCATCTCTGGTATTTGGTTCTATTGGCCTGAACGGACTAAAACAGGTCTTGTTTATATTGTTTGATTCTCTATTTATCTATCTCTCCTATTAGTTCTGTCCATTTTAGCTACAGGTATTTTTAAGCTGTTATTAGACAAATGTACATGTATGATTCCATCATCATACTGAAATGTCCCTCACTGACTCTGTTAATACTTTTGTCTTAAAGTCTATTTGGTCTGATATCAATGTAGTCACCCAGCTTTATAATTTTTATTATTATTATGCTTGTGGTTTACATGGTATGTCTTCTTTCACCTTTACTTTCAGTCTATCTGCTCTTACATGTAAAGCCAGTACTTATGCAAGGCATTTAGTGTTTTCATCCAGTCTGGCAACCTCTGCTACTTAATTTCAGTGGTCAAGTTATTTACACTTAAGGTGGTTCGTGGCATATCTGGTTTTAGATTTATCATGTTGGTACTGATTCCTTGTTTGTCGTATCAGGTCTCAGGTACTCTCTGTCTCCTTTTCTGCCTTCTTTAGAGTCAATCAAATTTTGCTTTAGTGTTCCACTTTAATTCTGGTACTGACTTTTCAGCTCTACCCCCATATGCCATATTTTAGTGCTAGCTCAAAGGATTACACTATGCACCCCCCACTTATCACAGTCTAGTTGGGGTTTATGTAGTAAAACTTCAGGTATAATGTAATAACCACATAACACAATAGCTTGATTTGCCTTCCTCTGTTGTCATATTGACATATATACAGTCATACACCCCACACAATATTGATTTTTCTTAAGAAAGCTATGTGCCCATGAAAGAAATTATGAGAAAAACTATAGTTTCTACATCTACTCTCCTAGTTACTGCCACAAGTGCCTGTCAACCTCCCTGAAGATGTTTCCACCAGCAGGACTCATCCCCTTTCAGAAAAAATTCT